ATATTCTGCAGGCAGACCTTGAGACCAAGTTAGGAGAAATCACAAACAACAAACATCAACTGGAGATATCATATCCAGCAATTTTCTTGCTCGTGTGAGAATTGCCCTGGCCACCATGAATTCAGGTATTAATGCTGGAGAAATACAACAAATATGTATAATACAGATGATCCACCATTCGTACTCTTACCATTTTTCTCAAGTCTCCCTTACCCTGACTGATTCCCAGATTCAAAATATTTAAGAATCCAGATGAACAAAAAGATCACAATCACTTCAAGACATCCATAGTGTACAATAGCTCATCCAGTTAGCTGTTAAATGTCACCAAATTCCATGGGGCTTAAGGAGTTAAACTCTACACTGGTGGTAACGTTAGATATTTAGCAGAATTATCTAGATGGACTCATGATTTGGAGATGCTTTTTATGACCACTGAGACAGCAAAAGCAAAATGAGATGTGTTGGTATTAGTGTGGAAAGAAACATCTCTCTCAGTGGTCTTGCTTAGCTATTGATACTTAGAAGACCTTCACCCTGGGAGGATGCCAACTGACCATCTGCCTATAGATGAATTCAGAGTGGAAACCCATCTGATGCTCCTCCCAGTAAGTTAGTGGGGAAATCTCTTAAAGGAAGACAATATCTAGTTGTCTCAGGCAATTTTGTTTCTCTAAATAATGAATGTCTAAGTGATGAAAAATAAGCCCAAGATGATTTCCATAAGCTATGAGTGGATATGAAAGTGGCAAAGATGTCTCATCATAAGCCATTTAAGTTTTATGAGCCACATTATCTGATCATCATAAAAGAAACATTTGTGTGGCTGCTTTTTTACATTGAGTGTGTTTTAAACAGTATGAGAGAAACAAAGCTGATGCCCCATGCCTTTTTCTTCAAGGAGAGTATAATCTAGCAGGGGCTGTTTACACAACACTGGACAAAAATAATTTGCAAACTGAAACATAAGTTACATTTGAAAAATACATTGAAAGGAGAAAATATCTTCCTCCAGAACATATGGATTTAAGTAGCTGACAAAATTTAAAAGCCATTCAAAGGGAGTTGGGATTTTGCTTGGCAATAGAGAGCTTGCCTAGCAACTACAAGGCTCTGGGTTTGGGACCCCATCTCTAAAAAATAAAAGAAAATTTGTTTGAGTGACTTAGTTACTGTTTATTGCTGTGAAGAGACACCACGACCAAAGCAATTTGGGAAGAAAAGGGTCTATTTGGCTTATGTTTCTACATCACAGTTCATCATTTAAGGAAGTCAGGACAGGAACTCAAACAAGATAAGAACCTAAAGGCAGGAGCTGATGCAGAAGTCCTAGAAGAGTGCTGCTTACTGTCTTCCTCCTCATGGCGTGCTCAGCCTGCTTTCTTATAGAACCCAGGACCACCAACCCAGAGATGGCACCACTCAATAATGGGCTGGGTCCTCCTCTACCAATCACTAATAAGAAAATGCCTTACAGGCTTGCCTATAGCCTGATCTTATGGAGGCATTTTCTCAATTGAGGCTCCCTCCTCTCTGTCAACTCTAGCTTGTGTCAATCTGATATAAAACTAGCCAGTACATTGAGTTTTATCTTTTCCCTAAATACTTACTTTGAATACAAAGATCAGTGGAGTCTGTTGCAGACTTAATCAAAACAAGTACTGAATAAATTTCTGTTTGCTCAGCCAATGAGAAGAACATTAAAAGTCAAAAAGACATCATGCTAAGTGTGAGTTTTTACCTGAAATTGAGTGTGACCCTGGGTTCCTAATTTAAAAAAATGTTAAAAAAAAAAAAAACATAGAGATGGGCTCATTTTCATACGATGCCATGTTAAATTGACCCAGGCCCTTTAGAACTGATTCTACTGTGTATTCCTCCTCTGAAGCCCAACTTTAATTCATACAGAAGGATAGGATCTCAACCTTCTATCTGTGGCACTCTTGAAGACTGAGGAAGACTCTCCCATTTGGAGTGAGGGGGCACAGATGAGTGGTTGAATTGAATCAAGGAAGGTTTTGTTGCAATTTGTAATGGCCACACTATGAGCACAGCAGACTGGACCACTGACAGCATTGAGCATAAGTCTATGACAGAACAGTTTGCTTTCCCTTGGGAGTGGCCTTTGGACAGGGATGGGTACACACATCACTTATTGAGGAAGCAGAAAAAAAAAACACTGCTAGGAGAATAGATACTGGGTATGCCTATGAAGGTATCAGGTACATGCTCATTAACCACTCAGTTGTCAGCCAGGGCCCTGGGGAATTGTGGAAGTTGATGATGAACTTAAAGCTACAGTTTCTGTATGAAAACACTCAGGGTACTTATACACCATTTCTCATCAGTGACCAAAGACCACATTCCTTAAGTTCACCACAAGTAGTGTCTTGGCTGTCTGGATCCATGGGCCAGCAAACAAGTGGAAGCAATTATTAGACCTGGCCTGGGCTTTAATGAGGCAAGACAAGAGCAAGGGGAGCCTCTGGGACAATAGCCCATACCATTCATGAAACACAAGTCATGGTCAGGGCAAACATTCAAATCAGTAGTGCCCTGGGTCTGAGAGGCAGTAGATGGATCACCTTCCAAACCAACATGGGCTCTGCTGGCTTTGTTGTTAAGTCTCTGGAAGTAGCTAACACATCTATTATCCCCTTCTTCATACCAGTCTCCATACAAGAACACACAATGCATCCCTAAACCAGGACCAACCAGGAGCAATTCCATGTCCCTGGAAGTCACCAGAAAAGTGAGCTCCAACAGTCAAAGATTCACCCCTTACTATTTCCCAAGAAGTACAAGAGAGAAATAAACCACAAGGCTGCTCTCTGCCAAAACACATATGGCCATTTTAAGTTGACTCAAGCAATTTCAGAGAAAGGACCAAAAAAGCTTAAGCCAACCAAACTGGGAACATCACTCAAAATGGCTCTAAAATAAATTAATATATCTAAAGCCCATAATGGCTCTCTGATGACTGTCTAGAGATTTAAAGATAAAACTTTCCTGCTAATATCAAGCAGCTGTGGACAGTCTGGACCCAGTCTGCTTCTTTCCACAGCCAGTCCTTGACAAATGCATTGTCAGACCTTCAGCCATGCTCCTGCCGTCGGCAGACACAGCCCCCCCCCACCCTCAGAATAACTGTCTGTAGTCACTGCAGCTCTTCAGACACTGTGATATCACCTCAGCTAAAGAAGTGAGAGTTTCCAGCCAGTGGGGTTTCTTTGTTTTGCTTTGTTTTTTTGGTTTTTTTTTTTTTTTTTTTTTTTTGAGACAGAGTTTCTCTGTGTAGTTTTAGTTCTGAATCTCGCTCTGTAGACCAGGCTGGCCTCGAACTCACAGAGATCTTCCTGGCTCTGCCTCCCGAGTGCTGGGATTAAAGGCATGTGCCACCGCCGCCCGGCCGCCAGCGGGATTTCACTTTAAGGACTATGATGTTCTGAAATTCCGAAAGAAAACGCACCCTCTGTGTCTATGTCTTCGGCAGGACCGCCTCTGCTATACTGCAGATGACCCTTGCTCAAGGCCATTATCTGTTCTACAGACACATAGTGGGAATGCCTTAATGAAAATTCTATAAATTATTGCAGGATATTTGATCACACCGTGACACCCCAAGACTGTGTCAATAAAGTTAACCTTGAATCAGGGGGTGGAGCCAGTGACTAGCCGACTGGAATTAGCCAAAGAGAATGCAGGAATATGGACAGAGAAGACACACAGGAAGGAGCAGGAGGGACTTGGAGAGTCCTCAGGCTCTTCAGTCTGGGATGTGTGGAGAGAGGCACTTGCTGCGGGTCCAGGAAAAAAGGGAAGGTCAGCTGGTCACTCCTCCTCTGCTTCTTTGATCCATCAGGTTTTCACTCCATTATCTGACTTCTGAGTCTTTATTGCTAATAGAATAATGTAGCTAAAAACAATAGGTAAAACCAGCTTATTTTTAATTTAGTTGTTTAAGCACACTTCTTTGTTTGCATTCATTTTAGTTGTTTTTTAGAATTACATACATTTGTTCTGTGTTCACATCATTTCCGCACCTCCTTCCTTTCCCCGACTTACTTCTCAAATTCATGTCCTTTTTATTATTGCTACATGTATGTGTATATATCCATATATGTGTGTGTGTATGAATACAACCTTACAACCTTCTGAATTCAGTCAGTCCTACTCATATGTCCATGTGTTTGGGGGTGACTACTTAGGATTAGATAACCCATCAGAGGGCTCATCTTTGGAGAGGACTGATTTTTTCCCTCTCTTAGGAGTCCTCAACTACCTGCAGCTCTTCATCTAAGAGCAGAGTCTTGTGAGATTTTCTCCATCACTGATGGTGGGGCAGCAACTGCTGTTGTCACTATGCAAGCCTTGTTTAGGCCACCAGACTGTCAAGATTTCTCGGGTTAAGCACACTTCTAATGTATGTATTTTGATTGTTTCTTAATTTTTTTCTTTGAGGTTTATTTATTTTTACTTCATTTGTATGAAAACTAGGTTCTTCTCCTTCTATGATACAGAGATTTGGTTTCCTCAGCATCCTAGGTACATCTTAGAATCCCTTCTGGTACCTTCTTACATTTTCTTTGTCCTTGTTGATTGTCTCAGTTCTCCTGCCTTGTCTTTAAGCTCAGGTATTCTGTTCTCTCCTTAATCGATTTCCACACTCTACTTGATCTATGCTCTTGGTGAGACTTCCCACAGGGCCTTTCGTTTGACTTACAATACTTTCCATTTCCAGCACTTCCAATCAGTTTTTCTTCACTCTTTCTGTATCACCGCTGAGTTCCTCTTTCATAGCTTGCAATGCCTTTCTTATTTCGTTGAGCTGGTTGTGTTCCCACACTCAAGGATTACAGGCAGGCTGTCATTCCCACTTGGCATTTACCCAAGTTCTGTGAATCCACACACTCTATGACAAAGGCTTTACCCACTGAGCCTTCTCCTCAGCTCCTAAGCAGGGTTCTTGAAGGCCAACAATGAGGAAAATGAGGAGCACTGGCTTCAGCAGCACATGTCTTCCTAAAATTGGAAGGATGCAGAGAAGATTAAGATGGTCCCGGTGTAAGAATTACACAAAAAATTCTAAAGCATTCCATATTTTCCATAATTTCATGGCTAGAGAAACTTTGGGCCTGAGAGGAAACCATTCTATTGTTATTTTGCTAAATGGACATGTCAGCAAACTGCCTTCTAAATATTTGTTTTATACCCAAAGATCTGTGCTGCTTGAAACATGGTAAGAGAAGCTTCATCTTGTAGTGGGTCAATGCAGACACTTAGAATTGGTACTGAGACTAGGTGACTGTGAGTGCTCATCCCTGGGTTGGGATATCTGTGTCAACCCCTCTGTGCAAGGCTCAGGGTTTATTGTGGAAGAGGGAATAGAAAGAATGTAAGAGCTGCAGGATGGGGAGAAGTGGTGTGAAATACTGTCTTCTGGACTAGACACAGCTGTCACATCCATAAACTCACAGTTGTGGTTACCTGCACAAGATAAAGCCAGACAAAACAAGAGCATGGATGGGAGAGAGATTCCTAAGACCTTATCCCTTGCTGAGGAGCTATAGTCATTACGGCTGTTGGAAGAGCCATCTTTCTTGGGGCTGTATCTACTGTTAGTTTGCCCATGCTCCACGGATGGCTGCACACCCATGCACATATGGGCAGCGCTAATGAAACCTAGTGGGATTTTCTTACAAGAAGACACTAAGTTAGGAACGTATGTTTTGGGAAATTAGGGAAAGTTGGACTGAGGAAATGGGAGGTGGACACACTCAAATTGCTTTCTATACATATGTAACATTCTCAAAGAATAAATGTAAAATAGTATTTTTAACAAAAGAAAGAAAAATAAATTATACAATTAAAAAGTCTGTAAATACTTTATTAGAGATGATGGTTCAATATCTTAAAGTCAATACAAACTAAGACAAGAAAATACCACGTGGGTCCATTCGTTTTCTTGTTGCTGGAACAAAATACCTGACGGAAGTTAGGGGAAGGATTTCTTTCAATTTGCATTTTCATGGCAGAGAAGGCCCTGATCACTGTGGTAAGGACCCCTCCTCTCCCCGGTGATAGGCTTGTAAAAGGGCTTGTTCACATCTCAGTAGCCAATGAGAAAACAGAAGAGTCTGGGCTAGAACCTGGACCAGGCTTTAATCGATCAGATCCAGCCCAGAAACCCATTTTCTCCAGTGAGGCCCCCTTTCTAAAGGTTTCCAAACAGGACACCAAAGTGGTACATAACTCATGCTCCAGTTATACAAATGACATTCTGGAATTTAAATTATAGTGATGTTCTGGAGTTATAGGTTATTGGAAGGGGGAAAGGAAGGCTGGAATGGATTTTTTTTTTCTATATTTATTTGCTTTTCGTTACACTCAACACTTAGACATGACGCAAAGACTTTTTTTTTTTTTTCAACTTACACTGATTTTAAAAATGCAAAAACGCCATCAGGTTCCCATTATTATTTTGATAGAGACCACCGGGCATCTTCATCCCCATTTCTCTTACTTGTTTAGAAGTTTACAAAAAGAGCACTTGTGGCCTCTCAGAACTAACTGGATTTGCCTGGGTAATGGACCACACCAAAAAGAGAGGTTAAGAACCTTCAACTTAAGCTACTTCCAGGCAGTTTTTAAAGACCACTCCACATGCATTTAGTTCTAGAAAGAAAAAAAGCAAACGTCATGATTATTTGACAGGAAAGTGTGGTCACACTGATGGAAAAGAATTAGCTAGAGATCTCAGCATGCTGAGAGGTGAGGCAATGTGGAGAGTCAGGCAGTCGGCAGCGGGGGGGGGGGGGGGAGCCATTTGTAAATCTATTATCAATTTCCATGGGGTGTTTCACTGAGAGCAATTGGAGATTTGTGACAGATGTTTATTTCGGCTGCCTGCCCAGTACGTGTGGGCTGAAACCATTCATCAGTCAGTTAAAAGCTGAACATAGTTTCGTTGTACATTTCAAATTGAACTTTCCAAATGGCAGTGAGTTTGGGAGCCTGACAGCCCTCCTGATAGTCCGTGCATTCTGTCTTTCTGTTTTGAGGACTCAGTGATTTCCCTGGATCCGGCTTGTAACAATCCCAGTGAGTCTCCGAGTTTGCCCAAGGAGCAGGCCGCATCCTGCCTCTTCAAGCATCTTGTGGTTTGCCGTGTTGACAGAGTGCTACAGGTGCTACATTTAATTAACTGACCAATTTGTTTCCCCATCTTTTTATGACACTCCCTTGAGACGAATCACATTGATGGAAATGGTGCGTGTGGGTGCAGACATGCATTCTGCTCGTTCCTAATGAAGACGCCATGAAGTGCATTTAAGATGCTTCCTTGTCAATAAGGGATTGTATTTAGAATATAGAATTTTTAAGCAGGAAGGGATCTAAGTGATTATCTAACTCAAAATCGCCATGATAAGGGTTGCAGTGATAATCAATCAAAATCTCTCTCTCTCTCTCTCTCTCTCTCTCTCTCTCTCTCTCTCTCTCTCTCTCTCTCTCTCTCGCCAATATAAATTCATCCAACATGCAGAGTTCGCCCCTTAGAAATGGAGCTGCTACAGGAATTGGTCAACTATTACTGTCTCTAAAAACATAAGCATAAGGAAGAGAAAAGATCTCAATTCTGCTATCTCACTGAGCTAAGTGCTCAGAGCTACGCTGTTGGTTGATTGTGACCCTCCTCTGTGAGGGATAATCTCCCTATGATAATGAGCCAATAATGTGCTAATGAACCCATAATCCACACACTTATCCTTTTTTAAAAATCATTTGAATATACACAAAAATGTGGGAATGCCACTGTATTTGCAGCTCACAAGTTTTAATATTTAATAATATTTAATATGTCCATTGTCAGAAGCTTCACTCACTTCTCTTCTTTAAACAGCTTCACCAAAGCCCAGCCACTTCAGTGTCTGACTGATGAGTTTGGGCAAATGAGTTTTATAATGCAACGACAACCACATTCAAGATCCAGACCTGCTATGTCCTCCCAGAAATGCTCCTCTTTGCCTCTGCTAAGAGTCCTTCCTTCTCATCAGCCCATGCCCACTGCCACACCAATTTTATTCATAAGGTTACTGAAATAAAACCCCAGTGCCAAGAGTTGGCTACCTTCCATGAAATGTAGGCCAGAGAGACCCTGGGGCCAACACGACGGGCAATTGTCCTTGCTGTTGGTTGCAGCCCGTATCTAGATGGTAAACCCTAGAGCTGACAATCTATACATTTTGGTTATAGGCCATGAAGATATAAAGATGAAGCTGCATTAGAAGCATGCTTCCTGTTGGCTAGCATTCATAGTGCAGGAAGTTTCTATTAGGACTTCTGGTGAGAAATTGCTACCAGTGATCCCGGTTATAAACACAACATACTAACCCTATCAGCATGCCGAGCAAGATGTGCCTGTTGGTACAATAGTGGTGCAGATATGACAGGCACTATTAACTATTTTCCAGTTGCACTGAAGGCCTGTTTCACAGGAAAGGACCTTTGTAAGAAAGCTGTTGTAAGAGAAAAATAACTTTGACTGGGGAGGCCATGGCCTTAGGGGGAAAGCTGCTGCTGTTAATTTGTTAAATGGATATGGCATGCCCGTTCAATTCACTTCGAAACGCATGCTCCTGTGCCCATAGATTATTACTTCTGTCAGCCTCAGTTGTGAAGAGAAACATTGCTTTGCATGGATGGTGGTTTCTGCACAGACTCATATCCAGTGAGGCTACGAAGAATAAAGTGACTATTTCTATGACATAATTAATTAAATGAATGTTAAAAAGATAGAGTCTCTCCCCATCTCCTTAATGGTACACTCTGCCAAGATAACTCTTTCATTGCTCTCCCTCTTCGTCTCTCCCCCATGTTCTCCCCTCCCATTCCCTCCCCTCTATTCCCCCCTCTCAGTTTACCCAGGAGATCTTAACCCTTTCCCCTTCCCAGGGCGATCCATGTGTGTCCCTCTTAGTGTCCTCCTCTTTACCTAGCTTCTCTGGGGTTGTGGATTATAGCCTGGTTATCCTTTGCTTTGTGTCTAACATAAGTGAGTACATACCGTGCTGCAGCTAGGGAAAACCCAAGGAACTCACAAGATTGTCCCCAGCTAAGACTCATAGCAATGGTGGAGAGAGTGCTTGAACTAGCCTTCCCTTGCACGCAGATTGATGTCTACCCTAATTGTCATCATAGACATCTAGTAATTAATGGAAGCAGATGCAGAGACCCACAGCCAAGCACCAGGCCAAGATCCTAGAGTTCAGTTGAAGAGAGGGAGAAAGAGTTGAAAGAGCAAGTGGGATAAGAATCATGATGAGAAAAAAAACCCACAGAAATAGCTGACCCAAGCTAATGGGAACTCATGGACTCTGGACTGACAGCTGGGGAGCCTGCATGGGACCAAACTAGGCCCTTTGAATGTGGATGGAAGTTGCCTGGCTTGATGTGTTTGTGGGTCCCCTGGTAATGGGACCAGGACTTATCCTGGGTACACGAACTGGCTTTTTAGAACCCATTCCCTATGGTGCAATGCCTTACTCAGCCTTGATGCAGAAGGGGGAGGGGCTAGATCCATCCCCAACATGGCATGACAGCCTATGTTGACTACCGAAGGGAGGCCTTACCCTCGATGAGGAAGAGAGATGGGTGGGGTGGGATTAGGTGAAGGGGAGCAGGAGAAGAGGCGGTAGGGGGAACAGGGGTTGGTATGTAAGAGGAAAGAAAAAAATTTAATAAAAAAATATATAAAAGATAGATTCTCATTATCTAGCATAATTTCTTTCTTTCAAACCTACAGGGTCATGTACTCTAGGCAAGCACTCCATCACTGACATATATCCCTAGCCCCTTCCTTGTTATTTTTTTTTAATTTTTATAGAGGGTCTCACTAGGTTGTCCAGCCTAGCCTTGAACTCACTTTGTCACCCAGGAAACCCTTAAACTTATAATTCTACTGCCTCAGCTTTGCAAGAAGCTGGGATGTCAGGCTTACAAGACCAGGCCTTGATGATCTAGCACAGTATGTGAGGGTAAGGAACACAGTGGCAAACTAGTTTAGGACTGAGTTTGGAATCCCTCCATGGAGAGACAGGAGGGATGTTGACTATGGTTGTGGTTGTCTTCTGGCATGGTTATGGTGCCTGGTAAGTCTACTTCCAATATTATTAACATGTTTCCTATTTCATACCATATTGGCCTCTAAATAAGTCTACTTACCACAATGCAGAATGGGTAACATAACCAAGAGTGACCATGTCCTGACTATTGGGCACATAAACCACCCCTAACACAAAGCAGAAGAATACACAAGCCAGTTTCTCTCATATCTTGTTGCATACCATCCAGAAGTCTGTTCATGAGTGGACAGACCCTTTCTCTGCCATCACCCAGCCAACTGTAGAACACAGTGCAGATGGCCTCCTACCATGCTAGATTTACTGCCTACTGGTGATTTTCAATATTAACCATATGAGGATACCAATCCCACTGTGGGGTTAGCCAACTCTTTAAGATTTGTTTAGGGATCATGTCTCCTCATGTCTGTAATGGGTACCTTCAGTAGACTTCCCTGAAACATGGTCTAGGCAGTTAACTTGCAAGTACAGTATTTTTCTGACATATTCCAAGTGCATGTAAAGTGGTCCAGGTCACAAATAGTTTGTGTCATTTAGTAATAGATACACTTTTGGTGATCAATAGCAGGATAATAGTAGTTTCTCAAAAAGAATTTATCTGGCAGTCATCTCAGACAATTTCCTAATATTAAATATTGAAAAGCCATCACTCATGGGCAATCAAGGGCTTTTGTCAAACGTCAAGTCAGCATAAGTACATGCTGATGACCTTTTTATATCATTTATTCGAGTTATTTTTAGAGATTGCTTTAGGGATTACAACAGGCATCTTTAATTTATCAAAATCTACTTGAAGTTAATTTTTAATTACTTTGGATAAAAGTTGAAACTTCGACTGAAATGGATAAAATTGGAGATACATGCAAACACCCCTATTCACACATTTGTATTCATACATTCACCATATGTGATAGTTCTGTTTCTTTGTTATACCACTGAGTCTTTGTTGTACCATTTTACTTCAATCTAAAAGACTTCCTTTAACCTTGGTTGTATAGTGTGTAATATTCTGGGTTGTGAAAGACTTTCTTTCACACATCTTGAAATAAAAGTTGGTTAGCAATGAAATCTGTTGTTCATATGGGAATGTCTTAATTTAACACTTCAATGTTGAAAGACAATTTCCATGGACATGGAGTTATTCATTCTCATTCTCATTCTCTCCCTCTCCCTCTCCCTCTCCCTCTCCCTCTCCCTCTCCCTCTCCCTCTCCCTCTCCCTCTCCCTCTCCCTCTCCCTCTCCCTTTCCCTCTCCCTATGTAAGTGTATGTGTACAGATACCAGATGAGGCCAGAGGAGGACATTGGAGCTAGAGTTACAGGAGGTTGTGAGCTGCCTGGATGGGTACCAGTAACTGAACTCTGGTCCTCCACAAGAGCAGCAAGCACTTTTAACCAGTGAGCCATTTCTCCAGCCCACCCCCTTTAGTCCTTTGAATATGACATTTCACTGTCTTCTGTCTGCCATTATTTCTATTGCACTGGCATCAACTAGTAACCTCATTGCTGGTCTGTTTGTAATAGGTCATTTTCTTCCCTCTTTCCACACTTTTGCCTGGTTTTCTTAAGTTTTTTTCCTTTGAGGGATTTTGTCATAGTATACTTAGCTTGCTTGCTTTGCATTTCTTTCAGGATTTGCTGAGCTGTTGCTTCTGCAAGTCAGAGTTTCACTAACTTTAGGGATTTCAGCAGCTGTTGTTTCTCTCTCTTGAACTTCCACTTTTGTGTATGGCTGTCACAGCTTGGGGCATGGAATGTCACCCCAAAATTCATGTACAAGGTTTGTTCTCTAATGCAATGTTGACCGGTGGGGCTTGCAGGAATTAATTGGATCATGAGGACTGTGCTTATACCAATGGGCTAATTCATTGACTGAGGTACTAGTATTATTAGAAGCCATGGAAACTACAAGGTTGTTTACATAGTTGGAGGAAGCAGATGACTAGATGTCTACACATGTGGATGTACCTTGTCCCTACACACCCACCACCATAAAGTGGGTGGCTCTACTCCTCTGTGCCCTCTTTGCCATAATTCTCTGCCTCATTATACCCCCGGAGAAACAAGGCCAAGAAACCATGGACCATGATGCTGCAAGCCAAAATAAACCTTTCTCCCTTTAGGTCAGCTTCCTCATATATTTTTTGTAACAGTAACAAAAAGCTGTCTAATTCAATGCTGAATTTCTTGATGTTGCTTTGCAAATACTGGAGGCTTTCTTCATATTTCTTCATTTGCTCTTGGTTCTTCAAACATATCTATCTAAATCTGTTCCCCAGTGTTAAAATTTGCTATCATTTTCTGTCTTTTAAAATAATAAAATAAATGCCTTTGTCTTAGTTTTTATTGTAAAATCGTTACTCCAATGCAATTTCTGCTGATATTCTCTTTCATGTTCTTATATAAGTTTATTTCTGGTAGCCAATAAAAATACGTACACAAGGTACATTTCGGTTTGCCCACAGTAATGTCAATGTCTTTAGTCATCACTCATTGTATCTGCATCTCTATGTTTAAGTTGAACTTCTTCTGGATTAAGTCCTCCAAAAGCCTTTCAGTGAAGGTCTGTGGCTGTTCAGGGGCTCCCACTCCTGATCCCCATTTTGTCCTTACACTTGGAGTACTATTTAAATGACTGCCCTTATAGTTCATCGTTTTCTCTAAAAGCCATATGTCTGTGTAAGGTTGACTGTAACTGCACTCTGCAAACTTTTATTGGTTACATTTTTATTTGCTATGAAATATGTCATAATTTTTCTCCTGCTTTTGTACATAACCTATGAGTCATTTCAAAGTATGTTATTTATTTAACAAATATTAAGTCATATGATCTAACTGTGCTGTTGTCAGAGGATATGTTTATAAGATTTTCATCTTATAACTTATTGGCCTTTATTTTATGACATAGCATGTGTTTTATCTTACTGAATGTTCTTTCACACTGAAAGTAATTAATTAAGTTAATTGGTACGGTGTTAGTGAGTAGCAGTCGGGCAAATTTAGTTTGGGGTTTTACAGATATTTAATTTTCTCTCAGTTACTGAAAAGGGATTGTAAAAAAATATAATCACATGCCCCGAATTGACTTTGTACAGCTCTCCTTCCAATTCTGTGCAGCTGTGCTTAATTTTTAAAGTTTAATTATTAGAAAGCACGCATTTGAGACTGGTGTGCTTTTTTTATGTATTTTTCTCTTTATCCTCATAAAATATTACTCTATCTTAGTAGCAATATTTAATTTTAAATATATTTTATACAATTTATATCCATTTAAAATGTTTACTTTGTATAACATTAATATACTTATCATAGTTTGGGTGTGTATGTTTATATTTACAGCATTTCTCTCTTCCTTTTTCTCCCTCCAAATCCTCCAGTATTCCCCCTTCCTTTCTCTCCTTCAAATTCATGGCTCTTTTTTTTCTCTTTTGTTAATGCATATATGCTCATGTATATACATTTATATCCCCAAATATAACCTGTTCAGTCTACATACTGTTACTTGTATGTATGTATGTTTTCAGGGCTGAGCATTTGGCACTAGACAACCAATTGGTGTGCTCTTCCCTTTGGAGGACCACCTTTCCCACACTCCCAACATTCCTCAGTTCTTTGTATAGGGGTGAAGCCTCCCCCTTCCAGTTTGGCATGTCCATTGGTGTCATCCTTGTTCATCTCATTTGGACAGTCATGTTGATGAGACCTCACTGACATAGCTTCTGATGTTAATAGGAAACAATCTCACAGCAAACTTCCCGATCCTTGGGCTCTTACTATCTTTCTGCCTCCTCTTCCACAATCTTCCCTGAGCCTTAGGTCTATGCTGTTCTTAACATTTATAGTTGTAAGATGCATGTTGTTCTGTTATTGTAAGCTTGTATATCTAGAGTGAGCCTCCTAGAAAGTTCATACAATTAGACTTTCTTTTTTCTTTCAAATATAATAATCTTTGCCTTTGACCCTAAGACTAAACATAGGCATCCTTAATGTTGGTACTAATATCGCTCAGAAAGGGATTACCGCATTGTTTTAAACATTTTGTCAGTGTTTTTCTTCAGTTACTTCTACCTTGAAGTCTTCAGAAATAATTAAAGAGTTTGGGTCTTTTTTATCCAATATTTTACTGTCTTCATGGTACTTGAAGAGTTATGTTGGGCATCATTGTCTGCTTAGGTTTAATAATGTACCAATCCATTCAACATTAAGAACTCTTGTACTAGTTAGTGTAACTCTGTTTATCCTCTCTGTCAGACGTTTACTTTTGTAGCCACCATCTTATCATTTGTCTGCATCTGTTATAAATCTCAAATCAAAGACTATATCTGTTGATATGCTGCAAATTTTCTGTTAAAGAAATGAAGAGGAAAAGAAACAATGATTACTTACATTTGTGCACATCGTTCTCTATTCCTTCCTGTTTTTAGGTTTCTATCAAGGGTCATTTTCCCTCAGGTTCAAGAAGTCTCTTTGTTACCTCAAACATTTGCTAGTAATTAATTCTCACTTTTCACTTACCTGAAAAGTCTTTGTTTTATGTTCTTATTAGAAATGTTGGCTGGATATAGATTTCTTAAATAATCTTTTTTTTTCTATTTTTCTTCTTTTATTAGAATTTTTTTCTTTTTTTTTTCTCAAAATGTTTTATCTAAAAACAAAACCAAAAAAAAAAAAAAGGAAAAAAGAAAAAGAAAAAATGACTGGAAACTTCATGGATCAAGTGGGAGAAAGGAGAGGAAGCCTGGAGCAGAGGCCCCAACCTCTCCAAAGCAGTCCGCACCCTGGGGCAAGCCAAGCCAGGCAGCCCTCCACACCCAGCCTCCGACTGGGAAGAGGCAGTCACAGTGGTCCAGGGGCCGGAGGGGCTGGGGCCAAGGAGTCACAGGAAATAGTCGGCCACTGGCTTCTTGGAGGGGATGCCACGTGTTTCTTGGGGTGCAGCCTCAAAGATGATAAAATCTTTCTGGAGATGCTTATCCAGTTCCAAGATGGCTGCCACATTCCCGCAGCGGTAGCAGTAATTAGGTGCTGACCACACAGTAAGCACGGTCTCATTGAAGTGCCACTTGTAACCTTCCATCACCAACTGGTGGGCACGGCAGATCATGTCAATGTCATTGGCTGCATTGAACTGGGCCACCACATCACTGCCAAACAGGTAGCCTGCCCCACGGGGGCTCACTCCCCAGCCTGTTGTGTCTTCAGGGTCAGACCACAAGAGGTCACACATGGGTCCATCATGGGGTACCTCCTGCTTTCGGTCAATTGTCTGGATCTGGTCCAGGGTCTGGATGGAAGGGGAGAGGCCCCCAAATTAATCTTTTAAAAATATTACAGTTATTTATTTGGAGTTGGGAACCATGTACATTCCATGGCACATGTGTGGGGGTCAGAGGACAACCTGCCAGAATCATTTCTCTCCTTCCATCACATGGGTCCTGGCAATCAAACTCAGCTCATCAGTCTTGGCATCAAGTACCTTTACCTGGCAAGATACCTCATCCTTCCTGGCCTACCTGTAGATTTTTGAGTTGGTTGGTAGCCATCTTTTCCTCTCAAAGATACTCTGTAGTTTCATGCTCATTATATGGAATGTTCAAAGATTTCTCCCCTTATTTTTGTTAGTTAACAGGTTGGCCATGCTGCCTAAAGATGTGTGGATATTTAGTTTGTTTTCTTGGTTTGGTTTTACATTTATTTGGTTTGGAATTCCCTGTGCTTCCTAATTCTATACAGTACATGGGTCTTTGAAAGCCAGTGTGAGGAGCCCAAGGTCACTACTTTCTCAGTCTTTCCTCCCTGATTCTTGCTCTCCTCAAGTAAGAGGAGAATTCAGTTACACCTCTGTTAAGATATTTGACATTGCCCGATAATTTTTCATTAGTCTTTATGCCCTCAATTTTTTTTTGCTTATTGAACTGGATAATTTCTGTTGATTATTTTCCAAGATGACTTTGCCTTCCACCCTCTTTAGTTTGCTGTTAAATTCTCTACATTTGATTCTTTCACTCTCTCTGCTTGGCTTTTCTCAGAACCTCATTCTTTGCTGGAATACCACCAACCATATCCACTCACATGCTATGACTATTATTGTCTTTAAAGTCATGTCAGATTTACATTTTTAAATGATTTTGCATTTGAGTCATTGTTAACTGCAACTTCAAGAGAGTTTTGTAGCCTATTTTTTAGCATATGTTTTTCTAGTGACTATTACATTTTATCAGTTTTCCCACACATAGGGATTTTATGTGGCATGTTTGGCACTGTGGATGATACTACCCCACAATTCTTGATTATATTGTTGAATTCTAAATACTGTTTACTTTTGTTCTTGAATGCAGTTGGGCAGCTTGTTGATCACTTTGTGCATGCAGAGGCTCAATCTTCAATTCCTTGGAGACCAAAAGTCATCAGGTCTCTTTTAGTTAAGTCATCATCACTGTTCAGACATAATTAATTTTTCTTCAGGAATAGACTCTCCAGGATTTCAGTGAAAAAGCAAAACCGTTCAAACTCCAAATTCCATCTCCACTACAGTACAAGAAGTTGGCCCGGTATGGTGGCACATGCTTTAATCTCAGCACTAGGAAGGCAGAGAGGCATTCAAATCTCTGTGAGTTTGAGGCCATGCTGGACAGTCAGACCTACATAGTTAAGATCCTGTCTCAAAAACAAAACAAATAAAAAAACTTCTGCTTGGACTTTTGGCCATGATGTCTGTCTCAGTCATTTTTCCTGTTGCTATAATAAAAGATCTGACAAGAGCAACTTCAGAATGGAAGAGCTCATTTTGGCTCACAGTTTGAGGTTATCGTCTGTTACCATGGGTAACAGTGGCAGAAGCTTGAGGCAGACAGTAGAATTTTGCATCTGTAGTCAAGAGGCAGATAGCATGATTGGGGATTTAGCTCAGTGACAGAGTGCTCACCTAGCAAGCACAAGGCCCTGGGTTTGGTCCTCAGCTCCAGAAAAAAAAAAAAAAGAAAAAATAACAAGAAAGATTTAAAAAGGTAAGAGACAGACAGCAATGAATACATGTGTGCAGCTCACTTTCTCCTTTTTATATAGTCCAGGATCCTAGCCCAAGGAATGCAGAGAATGGTACCAATCACAGTGGGTTGGTTTTCCTAGCTCTATTAACTTAACCAAAATAATCTCTCATAGGCTTTCCCAGAAGCCCATCTTCAAGGTCATCATGGGTCTCATCAAATTTGGCCACAGATTTTAACTCTCACAATTCCTTTCACCCCCTTTACAATTTGACAACAAAACACATCACTCTAGGTCACAGCCTTCCAACCCTGATCTCTAAGTCTCATACTCATTTTTTAATGCAAACTACAACCCAACTTTAAAAATTCCTTTAGTCTTTAACAACATTTCTGCTTTCTTATGGGTTCCTTGCAATCACTGTAGAGTTCTTTGGTACACTGGCAATCACTGTAGAGTTCTTTAGTATGCTACATACAGATGAGTAGCTTCTGTAAGACTGCTGAGCCCTTTCCTCTGGACATTTCTCCTCAAGTTTTAGCTTCTCTGATAGCCACAATCTCCCTCTATGACAGAATATACTAACAAAACAGAGATGTCATCCTGCGCGAATTCTAGTTATTCCCAAAGTACGTGGCTGTGGTGATTTTAGAAGAAGATGGCATGTGGATTACACACATTAGTGAAGAACTCTGAGTCACTGATAATGCATTGATGCTGCTTTAAGAAAAGAAATAAAAGCACTTTCCCTTGGAGTTGTTTAACCAAGATGGAGTTTTGAATTTTCTACTTCCTGCTCTCTATGTCTTCTGTCCTCTGTCTGTCTGTTGCGTGAGTCTGGATCTGTGTCTTCCTGAAAGCTGTCCTATGAACCTGTCCCTGTCTGTGTCTGTTGAGTGACTGAGTGTGTCTGTCCCTAACCATAGACTTTGCCCTGTCTTTATTGAGCAGCAGAGAAGGCATCACATGGGAAAGATTTGGGACACTTTACAGAAATCTTTAATAGACTTTTTACAAGTCACTGGCTCCAACTGATCCCAAGTGACCTAGATAATGAGCATCATTATTTATCAGCCAATATCCATAAATGTTTGCTGTCAACCTTTATGGTAGATTTTAGGAAGTTGCTTTCAACTTCTATCTTTGCTGTGTTCAGCAAGTCAGCCTCTCTCTCTCTCTCTCTCTCTCTCTCTCTCTCTCTCTCTCTCTC